AGCATCAGAAACTTTGGAACTGGAGTTACAGATGGTCACGAGGTACCATGTGCGTGCTGGGTACTAAACAGGAATGTTTAGCAACTGCCCTTAACCACTGGGCTATCTCTCCAGCTCCTCTGTTGGTGATTTTAATACACACCATCATTCGAGGATGTAAATATAGTTCCTTCTTACAAGTTAAAATGCTAAATCACAAGCAGTGTTGTTTTAAAGACGTGTGTGTGTGTGTGTTTTCTTTCAGATAAGGTGAAGTAGTTTGTATTTTTCTCAACAATTCACTCATTAGAGGACCTATTTTTCTGCACTCCTTTTACTGCCTTTGTAATTACCAGCAACACCACTACCGCCATTTCTTGACAAAACATGCAAAATTATTTCTCTGGTCCAGGTTGTATCTCTCTGGTTACTTATAGATAAGTATTTTGAAATACTTGTAAGCAATCAACACACCAGCTAATGAGTTGCCTGTTTCTGTTTCTGACCATTTTTCTGTCAGGGTATTTTTTTTCCTCTCACTGCCCCAATTATTTTCCTAGGAGAAAGTAGTACACTATAACAATGCTTTTGAGAGTACAGTATCTTCTTCTACAGTGAATTTAATAGTATCCAATGTTTATGTGTAATTAATATTTTTTTATATTTTACGTACTAATCCCAGTTTCCCCTCCTTCTGCCCTCCCCAGCTCCTCACCACCACCCATCCAATCCCTCAGAGAGGGTAGGGTCCCCATGGGGCATCAACAAAGTCTAGCACATCACTCTGAAGCAGGACCAAAGCTTTCCCCCTGTTTCTAGGCTGAACAAGGTATCTCTCCATAGGGTATGGGCTTCAAAGAGCCAGTTCATACACCAGGGATAAATTCTGATCTCACTGCCAGTGACTCTACAAATTATCCAAGCCACACAACTGTCACCCACATTCAGAGGGCCTAGTTCGGTCCTATGCAGATTCCTCAACTGTCTTTCTGGAATTAGTGAGCTCCCATGAGCTTGGATGAAGCAGGATTAATAAAAACTCAGAGAGAGAAATTGGGGTCCAACCTGAAGATCTGAAAAGTAAGCAGCCATCCACTGGCTCTCAGCCTTAGTCTGAAATGGCGATCCTGCCTCCAGGAATCTCAGAATGAGACTGAGAGCTGTCTCCTCCTATTTTATATTCCTCTCTAGTTCTGGGATTAAAGGCATGCACCGCCCAATTTCTATGGCAAACTAGCATGGCTACTGGGTTCAAAGGTGTGTGTTACTGCGACCTGGTCTGTAAGGCTGGCCAATGTGGCTGTTTTACTCTCTGAACTTCAGGAAAGTTTTATTTATTAAAATATAAATGAAATATCACTACACTTGCTGGTCAGCTGTTTCTGTGGGTTTTCTCATCATGGTCTTGGCCACTTTGCTCATATTATCACTCCTTTCTCTCTTTGACTGGACTCCAGGATCTTGGCTCAGTGCTTAGCTGTGAATCTCTGCATCTGCTTCCATCACTCATTAGATGAAGGTTCTATGATGACAATAAGATAGTCATCAATCTGATTACAGGGAAAGGGCAGTTCAAGCACCCGCTCCACTATTACTTAGATTCTTAGCTTGGTTCATCCTTGTAGATTCCTGAGACTTTCCCTGGTGCCAGATTTCTTGCTAACCCCATAATGGCTCCCTCTGTTGAGATATCTTTCTTTGTTCACCCTCTCCGCCCTTTCCCCCAACTAGATCATCCCATTCCCTCAAATTCTCCTCCCCCCTCCCCTTCTTTCCCCTCCTTCCACCCTCTCTTCTCCCTGCCAATTTACTCAGGAGATCTTGTTTATTTCCTCTTCCCAGGGGGATCCATTAATGTTTCTTTTAGGGTCCTCTTTGTTACGTAGCTTCTCTGGGGTAGTGGACTGAAGGCTGGTTATCCTTTGCTTTATTTCTAATATCCACTTAGAGTACACACTGTGTTTGTGTTTCTGGGTCTGGATTACCTCATTCATGATGATTTTTTCTAGTCCATCCATTTGTCTGTAAATTTCAAGAGGTCATTGTAACTAATACATTTTAAAAATACTAATTATAGTTAAAAAACTGTTTTAACTTACTGACAAAAATCTCTTCGTTTTATAACCTTCTAGGGCAGTTTCTATACATCATTGCCTAAAACATTTGCAAGTCAGGCTAAGTTGAAGGAAAATATATCCTCAAATCAGGAGATGGGCTGGGAGTAGTTTTACCAAAATCTTTTGGTTGGGGGATGTCTTGTTTTTGTTGTTATTTTTTGGGAGGGTCAACTTAACACAAGCTAGTATTTGGGCAAAGGGACCTCATCTGAGAACAAGCGCTTTATTAGATTCCTGAAGACAAGTGTGTAGGACATTTTCTAGATATTAATGTGGGAATATACAGCCCTCTGTGGGTGGTGCGCAGCCCATGGTCCTGGTGTGTTTAAGAAAGGAAACTGAGTGTGTGTACATGTATGCATGTATGTGTAAAACCTACTGTGTCCATTTAGTGTTACTCCTATGTACGTATGTTTAGGGCTGGGCATTTGGGGTTAGATTAACTATCAAGGGAGCTCATCTCCAAAGAAAACTAACACTCCCTCCCTCCGAAGCCATTCTATAGCACTTCATCTAATGGCATGACCTTGTGAAATTCCCCCCAACCATGTTGGCTGTGATCATAATGCATGTCATATTTATGAAAATATATTGTTGAGATTTCATGACAAATTCATAATCTTTGCCACTGACCAACTAAATTATTCTGTAGAGTTGTACAAACATCAAGCATTCTAATATTTGAATGTTTTCTTTGTTCCCAAGTTTCCTATTGGGAAAAGAATTTTTGTTTTTCTATATTCAGTGTGTGTATATACGTGTGTGTGTGTGTGTGTGTGTGTGTGTGTGTGTCTGTGTGTCTGTGTGTCTGTGTAGTGAGGAGCGGTGGGCTGTGTTCCCGCCCAGCTCCCGCATGGCTAGCTTTACCCGAAATAATTACACGGAAACTGTATTATTTTAAACACTGCCTGGCCCATAAGCTCTAGCCTCTTGTTGGCTAACTCTCACATCTTGATTAACACATTTCTAATCATCTGTGTAGCACCACGAGGTGGTAGCTTACCAGGAAAGATCTTAACCTGAGTCTGTCTCGGAGAGGAGAATCATGGCGACTGCTTGAATCTGCTTCTTTCTCCCAGCATTCTCTTCTGTCTACTCTGCCTACCTAATTTTCTGTCCTATCAGGGCCAAAGCAGTTTCTTTATTAGTTAACCAATGAAAGTAACACATAGACCCTCCTCCATCATGTGTGTGTGTGTGTGTGTGGTTTTTTGAGACAGGGTTTCTCTGTGTAACAGTCCTGGCTGTCCTGGAACTTACTCTGTAGACCAGGCTGGACTTGAATTCACAGAGATCTGCCTGCTTCTGCCTCCCAATTTCTGGGATTAAAGGCATGTGCCACCACTGCCTGGCTTTTTTTTAAATCTTTTAAGCTTTTTAAATTTATTTATTTTTATTTTATGAGCACTGGTGTTTTATTTGCATGTGTGTCTATGTGAGGGTATTAAACCCACTGAAACTGGAGTTATAGGCAATTGTGAGCTGCCATATAGGTGCTGGGAATGAAACCCGGGTCCTCTGGAAGAGCAGTCAGTGCTCTTAACCTCTGAGCCATCTTTCCAGCCCCAGCATATTTTGAATAATGAAAAATGTGTATGGTATATTTTCTTCGAAGTGACTACTACTACAATTTACTTCTGCTATGATCTATGATGTATTAACTTAAAATATTGACAGAAACAAATCAATAATCCTGGTCTTGGGACCAGAATTCTGGCGAGTAAGTAACATGTGCAGTATTTATCCTTAATAAATGAAAGTCCTAAAACATTTAAAGTGAGTTAATACAAAAATAGCCCTGGGAATTCAATTAGAAGACATGACAAAATGTTTAGAGTAAGCCTCTCTTAATAATGCTGACTTGTGTTTCTTGACATTTTATTGATTTTTAAGATTGTTATAAATGTACTTCTTTGCATTCAATATGTATCAATCAGCAAATTAGTGAATTGTGCTTATGTTGCCATCTCTAGTCTGAAGTTAATGGCTCGTTGCACTGCTCCTTTATGATTCCATCACATTAAAACAGTTACTTGGGGCGGGGGGGGGATCTGCACCCTGCAGTTTGTTATTACAACAAGAGATTTATTTAGTCAAGCTCAGTATTCATTGTTGTTCTGTGCCCTCAACAAATAATCATGATTTAAATTGTCCATTCTTAGAGTGTGATCTTGCGAAATGTATATATGTTATATGATAAGAGGAGACATTATGCTTTTAAAGAAACTGAGCAGACATTAAGAGTGTTCTGGTTGACTGAGAGAAATGAAGTAGATCAATTAGATTTTTAGTTTTTATTTTGCAAAACTTTTCTTTCCCTAGGGGTACCAACTATTATTTATCACCTACTAAACATTAATGCCCAGTTCTATTTGTACATTTTTGTAGAAAATGTTTGAATAACATGCTTCCTCCAACAGTTTATTTTTCATGGGAGAAAAGTACAATTTGATATGGTAACTATTAATGGCATTTGGCAGTACACTGCCCCTAAGCAAATGTAAGAACCACCAAGGTAAATAACTTATTAGGAAACAACAGAAATGTAAATATTCCCAATGAACTCATGATTTGTAGGTAGCTCAGACCTACCAAAATCTATGCAGTTGGTTTACTGAGCACCTTTTCGGCACTGAAGGGTAAAAATAAAGTCAGTCCTCCCTCCAACAAAACACAAACTTAAGGCAGACTCTTATTGTCCAAAAGCTCAAAAACAAAATAGATTATTCTCATGCACTGTTTTCATAGTTTCCAAAAGGATGAATTTTTCTCTCTCACTTTCTAAAAATTACAACTATTAACATTGAGATGTAAAGTTTTATATGTCATAATTGAGGGGAGGGTGTGTGGTTGTGTCTCTGGAATGTGACGTTGACTAACGATTATATGACTTGTCCCCTATAGGCATAATGCAGAGGAAGGTAGAAGAGGTTACAAAGGCCTTTGAGGAGTATCGACGCAAGGAGCAGGGGTACAACATGAAGTTTGCCTTTGAATAATTATCACCCTAACCCACTCCGTTTGGATTATGCATCAACCCTGAATTCTGATGCTATTAGAGTAGTATTTACTGTTACTAATCTTTGATTGCAATAATTTGTGCATGTGTTTGATTATTTTTCATTTAAATATTGTAGAGAAGTATCCAATTTTTCTTTCAGAAGGAAATGAGATTAGTGCCGAGGGCATAACTCAATGATAGAGTGCTTACCCAGAATTAAGTAAAAGGTGTATTAAGCCCCTTGCCCAGGCAATAACTTCTTAGGTATTGATTTTGTGTATGTAATCTATATCTTATCAATGTAGAGTGTACATCCTACACCAGTACATGCCATCTTCCTACTTAATTGGGAGAAGATGTTTGCCAAAACGTACGTGCCACCCAGTCTTTACTGGGTATTTGTTGCCATTCATGTAAAGTGCTGTATACTGTAAAGTCTCAAGTGAAATTTACTGTCAACTCTGAGATATAGTTTTTAAGGCATCATTTTTATCTGTGAAAGACCATATGGGCAATGAAAGCAAGTGTCTTTCCGGAATTTGGAGTAGGTAATATGGCTTTATGGATTATGGATTTAATTAGGGCTTTGCTTTCTCTTGTGGTTCTCGAGATCAAACCCAGTGCTACACTTTTGGATTATATACCCAGCACTGAATTATGTTACTTTTGAGGGTAAGATTAACACAGTTCCCTTACTTTTGACTATTCAGATACCTCAGTGTTTTCGTATTTTTTTTTTTATCAAGACCTCACTGTATAGCCTAGGCTGCCTTGGTTTCCCAAGTGTCACCACACCTAGGTGTCCTAAGATTTTTGTTTGTTTGTTTTGTTTTAGCATATGATTTGGACCTGACCTTTGTGTAACTTTTCATGTTCTTAGAGAGAAAACAAAAACCTTCTTCTTAGCTTTAAAGCATCTTAGACTCATGCTTCATTGTGTCATTAAGAATGTGATGACCTAAAAGTGAAAATAAATGAATTAAAAGCTAAGAGACTGAACTTAAATTTTGTTGTCCACACAACACACGGCCACACTGAAGGGTTCATGTTACAGAAGAAAATATTTTTTAAATGACGATTAGTGATGGTAAGTTTTTTTATATATTTATTTTTTTTTGTTGAAAAAAATTTCTGCCTCCTCCCTGCCTCCCATGTCCCTCCTCCTCCTCCCACTCCTCTCCCCCTCCCCCCACTCATCTCCCCCTCTCCCCACTTCTTTCACCCTCTCCCCATTCCTCTCCCCCTCCCCCTACTCCATTCCCCCTCCCTCTCGGGGTCTAAAGAGCAGTCCAGATTCCTTGCCCTGTGGGAAGTCCAAGGTCCTCCCCACTCCATCCAGGTCTAGTAAGGTGAACATCCAAACAGGCTAGGCTCCCATAAAGCCAGTTCATGCAGTAGGATAGAAACCTAGTGCCATTGTCCTTGGCTTCTCATCAGCCCTCATTGTTCGCTATGTTCAGAGAGTCCGGTTTTATCCCATGCTTTTTCAGTCACAGTCCAGCTGGCCTTGGTGAGCTCCCAATAGATCAGCCCTATCGTCTCAGTGGGCGGGTGCACCCCTCGCGGTCCTGACTTCCTTGCTCATGTTCTCCCTCCTTCTGCTCCTCATTTGGACCTTGGGAGCTCAGTCCAGTGCTCCAATGTGGGTCTCTGTCTCTATCTCCATCCATCTCCAGATGAAGGTTCTAAGGTGATATGCAAGATATTCATCAGTATTGCTATAGGATAGGGCCATTTCAGGTTCCCTTTCCTCAGTTGCCCAAGGAACTAGCTGGGGACATCTCCCTGGACACCTGTGAGCCCCTCTAGAGTCAAGTCTCTTGCCAACCCTAAGATGGCTCCCTTAATTAAGATATGTGCTTCCCTGCTCCCATATCCACCCTTCCTTTATCCCAAATGATGGTAAGTCTTATGAGTAGAATAAATACTAGAACTTAACGAATTCGCTTCCTGTACGAACATTTATCAGTTATTTTAGTAAGTTTTTGTCACCACTCCAAATTATAGACTGTTGAGCCAGGCAGTGGTGGTGCATGCCTTTAATCCCAGCACTCGGTAGGCAGAGGCAGGTGGATGGATCTCTGTGAGTTTGAGACCAGGCTGGTCTACAGAACTAGTTCCAGGACAGAGAAACCCTGTCTCGAAAAACAAACAAACAAACAAACAAAATTATAGACTGTGAACTGGATCTGGTTGCACAGGCCTGAAATTCCAGCAAGCCAGAAGGCTGAGAGAAGGCTCACAGATTCAAGGCCAGTCTAGGCTGAGCTCAACTAATAAGAACTTCTTTCAAAGAATGAAACAATGTCTGGGCCTGAAGTTCTGTGGGAGAGTGCTGTCCTAGAATGTAAAGCTTCAATCTTTAGTCACTCTCCCCCTCCCTCTCTTTCCCTCCCTCTCTATCTGTCCCTCTCCCTCCCTCTCTGTCCGTTTTTCCCCTCCCTCCCTCTCCCTTCTTCCTCCCTCCCCCGTGTGTGTGTGTGTGTGTGTGAGAGAGAGAGAGAGAGAGAGAGAGAGAGAGAGAGAGAGAGAGAGAGAGAATGGGAATAATGAGAGATTAATGCAGGCCACTAAATTTTGTAGACTTTTAAGGTGAAAACAGTTTTGAGTACAATTTTGAGTAATCTCTAATTTTTGAAGTTCAATATAATCATCAACATATGTTGTAGGGAGAGGGCTCCTTGTTCATCCTGGTTGCCCAGCTAACTTACACCTGAAATAACCACACAGTAACTATATTAATTTAAACACTGCCTGGCCCATTAGCTCTAACTTCTTATTGCCTAACTCTTACATCTTGATTTAGCCCCTTTCTATTAATCTATGTATCAGCATGTGGCTGTGGCTTACTGGCAAGATTCTAACTGGTGTCCATCTGAGGCAGAGGATCCATGGCTTCTCTCTCTCTACCCTTCTTCCTCCCAGCCTTTAGTTCTGTTTTCTCCACCTACCTAAGTTCTGCCCTATCAACTAGGCCAAGGCAGTTTCTTTATTCATTAACCAATGAAAGCAATGCTCAAACAGAAAGAACTCCTACACCATGTCTCCTTTTCTGTTTAAACAAAAAGGAAGGCTTTAACTTTAACATAGTAAAATTACATATAACAAAACAGTTATCAAGCAAGAATTACAGTTACAATATTTATATCTACTTTATCTTTTATCATAACTAAGGAAAACTATAACTATCTATCTATTCTTTAACTCCATCAAAGACTCCAGAAGGATATAATATTACCTAAGTAAACAGGAAGTGCTTCATAAACTTCCAAAACTCTAGAATTGACAGAGACATCTTACTGCCTGGACATTTACCCAAAATTCTTCTGTACCGTTGGGGCATCCATCTTTAGCCTACAGGCCCATAGTATCCAGCAGACTTTTTCGTGAAGCTTTAGGCAAGTTTAGCAGTCATCTCTCTGTGGGTACTGCATATCCAGTGAAGCAATCCAGGCAAGAGCAGTTTCTTGCCCAAATGACTAAGGAGCCTCTTCGATGCCCATCTTCCTCTCAAAATAGCTTGTGCTGTGAAAATGAAATAACGAGTACATCTTATTTTGTCAAAGCTAGAAGAACAATGGCATCCTGGTGTAGTTTTCCAGACATCACTTGGTACTACCACTTGGGTTGGCTGCAGTTATAAACATATCCATAGAAAACTTCACAAACTCGCTTTCCACTTGCAATTCCACAGCAGCCATGTAACAATCTTTCTCCACCCAGACCCTCTCAAAGTAGATTTGCTTTGTAGGATGTGCCCCTCCGGTATCTGGACACTCTTGTTTTATGAGAGCTAGACAGATTTACTGTGATGGTGAAATGCTCCACCCTTCCAAGAAGTCAAGAACACTAACAACCTTGGTGTCTTTTCCCATTTCCCCATTGATGGATTTGTCAGGGAGACAGTTTGGCTGAATGCCAGAGTTAAGCCCCACCTCCTTAAAGAATCTGCCTTCCTCACAGAGATGTGACCCACATTTTGTTTATACTTACAGGCAGTCTTTATTCGATGTCAGAGCTACAAAGCGATGCATGTTGTATTCACACTTATCTCCCAGGGTGCTTCTAGAGCACTGGTGTTTGCATTTGGTGGATTTTTAATTACTTTAATACCTTCCATGATATTTTAAATCTACTAGAAGTCTCAAGAAGTGCAAAGTTATACAGCTTCTGTTTTGTTTCCGTGGCTGCTCTTTGGTTTCTTGCTGACATGAACATGACAGTATCAAGGACTTTGAGCAAGTCTGAACTTACTGGGTAACCTTAGAATATTTACTCATAAATAAACACCCTCTCATGCAAAAGCTTTAAAATCACACAAAAGTATTATTTTACATAAAGCTTCACAGTTGCCTATTTTTCTGAAGCAGTGGTCCTTATGCTGCAACCCTTTAATACAGTTCTTCATGTTGTGGTGACCCCCAACCACAAAATTATTTCATTGCTACTTAATAACTAATTTTGCTACTGTTATGAATTGTAACATAAATAGCTAATATGTGACCCCTGGCCCACAGGTTGAGAAACACTGTGGTATCCTTATTTAACATAAGACAAAGCTGAATCAAACAAATTAAAGACATTTAAAGAAACCGAGAACTTGAATCTAAACCCAAGTTGTGCGAATGCCAAAGTCTTCAAGATATTCTTTTCTCACCTGGCTCCTAATATAAGAAGGATTCCATTTAATTAAAATGATCAAATAGGTGTCTTAGGGTGTTTATTGCTGCAATGAAATACCATGACCAAAAAGTGTAGTGTGAACCACAAAGATAGACACACACACACACACACACACACACACACACAAATTATTAAGGGGTGCTATGGGGAAAATAAACTCATAGATCTGGGGACTGACCACATGCCACTTCATGCTGCCTGACCCCGTCTACATCACCCAAGGGATCTGAGAGCAAGAGCTCGAGAGAACCCCCCCCCCCCCGCACCCACTCAGCTTGTCAAGTCCACAGACAAGACCATGCCCTAAGGTTGGTAATTCCCAAAAGTGGCTAAAGGAATCTAAATTCCACAATAAACAAGAAAGGGGGAAAAAAGGGAGGAAAAGGTCTATGTGGCTTACACTTCAGCATTGATGTTCATCACTGAGGAAAGTCAGAACTGGAACTCAAACCCGCCAGGATCCCAGAGGCAGGAGCTGATGCAGAGGCTGTGGAGCAGTGCTGCTTACTGATTTGCTTCCCATGGTTTGCTCAACCCACTGTCTTATAGAACCCAGAACCACCAGTCCACAAATGGCACCATCCACCATGGTCTGGGCCCTCCCCCAGTGATCACTAAATGGGAAAATGCCTTCCAGCTAGATCTCAAGGAGGCATTTCCTCAGCTGAGGCGCCTTCCTCTGATGACTCTATACCATGTGTCAAGTTGACACAGAAAGCCACCCAGGACACTAGGTGAGACAGTCATACAGTTATTGCACACCTTTACTCCCAGCACTCGGGAGGCAGAGGCAGGTGGATCTCTCTGAGTTCGAGGCCAGCCTGGTCTACAAGAGCTAGTTCCAGGACCGGCCCCAAAGCTACAGAGAAACCCTGTCTTGAAAACCACCAAATAATAATAATGATAAAAAATAAAAATTCAAAGGACAGGGACAGTGGTGGCACACGCCTTTAATCCCAGCATTTAGGCGGCAGAAGCAAGTGGATCTCTGAGTTTGAAGCCAGCCTGTCTACAACAAGACTTCAAGGACTGTCAGAGTTGTTACACAGAGAAACCCTATCTCTAAAAACCAAACCAACCAACAAAATAAACAAAAACCTCAAAGGCTATAAGCGCATGCTTGGCACACATCTGTAATCCCTGTATTTGGAAGACTCAGGCAGGAAGATCAGAAGTTAATGACCAATTTGAGCTTCATACAAAATCCTGTCTCAACATAAGGACAAAAATTTCTATAGGAAAAGAACATATGAATAACTTAGTTGAGTTTTTTTCTTTCTGTTCTTGTCCTTCAATCATTGAGTTCTGTTAGTTGGAGGCATTCCCTGTCATACGTTCTCACAGAGATATTTCATGCATATGCAGGCACATACATATTCCACCTTTTACACAAACATAAGCATACTATATGGTATTCTGAAACTTGCGAGTTCCCTAGCTATATTTTCAAGACTGTAATAATCCTGAGGACTGTACCCCCCTTCATCATTATACAGATTTCATTAAATGTATTTAGACACTTGTTTTTCCCCAGTATTCTGCCACAGAGAGCATTGAACAGTGACGCATATAGATGAGTATTTATTGTATTGACAATCATATTTGCAGATGTATTGACTTGCTGCTTTGAAGAAAATGTGCATTTAAATTTCAATAGGTACATCAAGTTGCTCTTAGTAGAGGTTGTACCAATTTTTCCTCCTACCAGCAATATTTGAGAGTGCTCATTTCACCAGAATGTCAACAAAACAAATGTATTATCATTTTTAATTCCTTTCCAATATAGTAAGTAAAAAAAGTGCTAATTAGGATACTTTAAAAAATTCTATTCTTTGAATAGTTTTAGATTTACATAAAAGCTTCATACTCTACTGTTTCATATATTTCCACTCAGTTTTACTTAGTGTTAACACCTTGCACAGCACAGTGTCTTTGTCACTAATGAAACTTATTAAATAGAAAGTATAGTTTCTTCACATTTGCCTAGTGTCCTCTTCCTGTTTCAGAATCCTACAGCACATTTCAAAATCATCTTTCCCTTGTTTCCTCATATGCATGACAGAGTCTCAGAATTCTCATTGGTTTATGGCCTTTGTAGTTTGGAGAAGTACAGGTGGCCACTGCACTTTGTTTTATATTTTACTTTTGTTTATTTTTGTTGATTTTTTTTTCTCAGAGAGTCTCTATGTAGACCTGGTTGGCCTTAAATTATGTAATGTAGCTTGAAATTTCCTTCTTATAAATTAACATCATCCTTTCCATATGTTTAGTGATATTTGCATTTCTTTTTTGGCCACTAAGAACACATGCTTTTATTGTTTTTGTTATTGATGTTGCTAGTTTTGAAAGTGGTCTTATGTAGTTCAGGCTGGCCTTGAACTTATTATCTAGCCAAACAAGTATTCAAAGCATTCTACGAATTGAGCTACATCTCTAAACCCAAGAACCAATGCTTTTAAGCACTTTTCTATATGTAGCTTTTAAAAAAATTATGTTCTGTGTATGCATGTTTTGTCTGCATGTATCTGTGTTACTACGTGTGTATCTGGTACCCCAGAAACAGGCATCAGATCCTTGGAACTGAGGTTGCCGACTGTGAGCTGCTGTGGGAATTGAACTTGGGCTCTTTGAAAGAGAAACAAGTGCCCTCTCTCTCCAGCTCCTACTATATCTAATTCTTTATTCATTATATTTATCAATAAGATATTCAGACATCTAGGTACCTACTGACTCTGACTTTGAACTAAGGGAATTCAGAAGGATCTGTTACAGATACGAGAAGAGCATTAGTGCAAGTGATGTGGTCAGATCATAGGCTTGACTGGGAACAGCAGGTAGGTCAGATAAATCCTTGAAAGACAAGCCTTGTTAAAAAGAACAAATTCGGTTGTGCTCAAGGAAGTCAGAACCACGAGGGGTGCGCCCACCCACTGTGACGGTGGAGCCGATCTAATGGGAGATCACCAAGGCCAGCTGGACTGGGACTGATGGAGCCTGTGATCAAACCGGACTCTCTGAGCGTGGCTGACAATGAGTGCTGACTGAGAAGCCAAGGACAATGGCACTGGGTTTTGATTCTATTCCATGTACTGGCTTTGTGGGAACATAGTCTGTTTGGATCCTCACCTTCCTAGACCTGGATGGAGGGGGACGGTCCTTGGACTTCCCACAGGGCAGGGAACCCTGACTGCTCTTTGGACTGGAGAAGGAGGGAGAGGGGAATGGGGGAGGGGGGGGAAATGGGAAGAAGGGAGGAGGTGAAAATTTGTAATAATAATAATAAAAAGAGAAAGAAAAAATAAAATAAGTTCTGTATCGCTAAAAAAAAAAAGAACAAATTCGAAGATGACTGGAGAAATTCTAGGATTTATTGATACTCGAAGAGTCAAGAAGCCAAAGGTGAATCCCAGGCTTATGAAGTGTATATTTTGGGTGTTATCTTTAACCTGTACTAGAAATTTTTTTTATTTTATTGAAAAAAAGGAAAAAAAGTTTCTGCCTCCTCCCAGCCTCCCATTTCCCTCCCCCTCCTCCCACCCTTCTCCTCCTCCTCCCACTCCTCTCCCCCTCCCTTTCCAGTCCAAAGAGCAGTCAGGGTTCCCTGCCCTGTGGAAAGTCCAAGGTCCTCCCCCCTTCGTCCATATCTAGGAAGGTGAACATCCAAACTGGCTAGGCTTCCACAAAGCCAGAATATTAAGTAGGATCAAAACCCCGTGCCACTGTCCTTGGCTTCTCATCAGCCCTCATTGTTCGCCATGTTCAGAGAGTCCAGTTTTATCCCATGCTTTTTCAGTCACAGTCCAGCTGGCCTTGGTGAGCTCCCAATAGATCAGCCCCACTGTCTCAGTGGGTGGGTGCACCCCTCGTGGTCCTGACTTCCTTGCTCATGTTCTCCCTCCTTCTGCTTCTCATTGGGACCTTGGAAGCTCAGTCCAGTGCTCCAGTGTGGGTCTCTGTCTCTATCTCCATCCATCACCAGATGAAGGTTCTATGGTGATATGCAAGATATTCGTCAGTATTGCTATAGGATAGGGTCATTTCAGGTTTCCTATCCTCAGCTGCCCAGAGAACGAACTGGGGACATTGCCTTGGGCTTCTGGGAGCCACTCTAGGTTCAAGTCTCTTGCCAACTCTAAGGTGGCTCCCTTAACTAAAAATTGTGCTTCTGTGCTCCCCTCTCCAACCTTCCTTTATCCCAATCATCATTTTTCGCCAAGTTCCCCCTATCCTCCCTTTCCCCCTTTTCTCTCCCCATCTCCCCTTACCCCCATCCCACCCCACCCCCAAGATCCCAAATTTCTCCCTGGCAATTTTGTCTACTTCCCATAGCCAAGAGGATAACTATATGTTTTTCCTTGGGTTCATCTTCTTACTTAGCTTCTTTAGGTTCACCAATTGTAGACTCCGTGACCCTTATTTATGGCTAGAAACCAATTGTGAGTGAGTACATCCCATGTTCATCTTTTTGGGTCTGGGTTACCTCACTCAGTATAGTGTTTTCTATTTCCATCCATTTGCATGCAAAATTCGAGAAGTCATTGTTTTTTACCGCTGAGTAGTACTCTAATGTGTATATATTACACACTTTCTTCATCCATTCTTCCATTGAAGGACATCTAGGTTGTTTCCAGGTTCTGGCTACTACAAATAATACTGCTTTGAACATAGTTGAACACATGCTCTTGTCATATGATAGGGCATCTCTTGGGTATATTCCCAAGAGTGGTATTGCTGGGTCCAGGGGTAGGTTGATCCCGAATTTCCTGAGAAACCGAAACACTGCTTTCCAAAGTGGTTGCACAAGATTGCATTCTCACCAGCAATGGAAGAGGGTACCCCTTCCTCCACAGCCTCTCCAGCAAAGGCTATCATTGGAGTTTTTGATTTTAGCCATTCTGACAGGTGTAAAATGGTGTCTTAAAGTTGTCTTGATTTGCATTTCCCTGATCGCTAAGGAGGTTGAGCATGTCCTTAAGTGTCTTTTGGCCATTTGAACTTCTTCTGTTGAGAATTCTCTGTTCAGTTAATTTACACAATACAGGTGCATCCAATACGTGTTTTCTCTTTCCATCACCACATAGTTCTGTTCTACTACAATTCCCAGAGTCCCTCGCTCCACCTCCATCACCTTGAGTCTGCCGCATAGAGTTCTGGGAGTTGAGGTCTGGGGCCTGTTTGCCCAAGTTAGTGATAGGGGCCTGCGGAAACATGAAGAGGTAAGGACATGTCCGAGTTGCAGGCGGCAACTTTTATCTTTTACTTTTTGAAAACGGCCTTTTCCTTTCGTTTGGGATGTGTCAGGTTCTTGAGGGGCGGGTTCTTTCTAGCGAGAAGACCACGGAGAAGGGAGGAGGGAAGGCGGGCCTCACCAGTCTGTTGGTGCTCTGGAAGGGCCTAGGCCAGGCGGATTTGTAGGAATGCTTCCCTCTGGGCAGAGGCCTCTGGAGCTGCCCTGGCTAGCACTTTCCTAGCTCTGGGGACGTGGGAGTCAGCTCCTTCCTAGCCCGTCCTTCCTAGGTCTCACCCTCCGGAGGGTCTCAGGGTGGGCGCTTACATTGTCTGGATTTTAAAGACATAGTGGGCCGGCCACGCAGGGCCTTTGTTTTCGGATCTAAAGTTAGAGAGTGGTAGTTTGTTTCTCCAAATTCAGCTCAAAACCGGCGTGTTTTGGGAGAAGGAAGGTATTGCTGCAGGGCAGTTTCCCCTACCGGTTCTGCAGGAAATGGCCCTTTGAACCTGAAAGGGTCTTCCTTGAGACCCAGAGCTTCACAGTTCCTGACAGGACAGGAATCCTTCAGAGTCCACTGTAGTTTTAGAAGATTCATTCTGCAGGAGAGTCTTCACTCTGGGACGGTATGGCACAACTAACCCCTTTAGGAATACTTTCTGCTTTCTTAGTTTCCTGAATTTTTCTTTTAAGTTATTGATTTCCCTCCCTAAGTTAAAATCACATTTTAACTATTTTTTGATGACATACCTCCTACTTGAAAAATAATGGATCTAACGTAGATCTTAAAGAATAATCAAAAAGGGCTGTACCCTGTACAGGTGTAAGCTGTAGGACATCATCCCCATACATACCTTAAAACAGTCTCCCTGCTTCTCCCCTGATTGTTTCCCCCTTCTAGCTAGGATTTTGCACCAATTACTCCCTTGCCTTGTTTTGGATTTTCGAGACAGGGTTTCTCCGTAGCTTTTGGTTCCTGTCCTGGAACTAGATCTTGTAGACCAGGCTGGCCTCGAACTCACAGAGATTCACACCTGCCTCTGCCTCCTGAGTACTGGAATTAAAGGTGTGCTCCACCACTGCCAAACACTCCCTTGCCTGTTTTTGTTTTGTTTCTTGATATATTTACCACATATGAGTTTAATCCCTGAACAAAATATTCCTAGTTTCATCTGGTTTTATTTAGCCTTATATAAATGGGAACATACTGCCTTTCTTTTTCTGTAGCAAGCTTTTTTTAAAACAGTATTTTTCTATAGATTTATATGTGTTGATATGCTTATTCATTTTTAAAAATTAAATTTAGCAATAACTTTGGGATTCAACGTAATAAAGATAGAAAGGCTTAAAGAGTTTTTTTTTTTTAAGCGTTAGTGCCAAAGTAAGTTATTCTAGAGTTTTTAAATATAGGTCCAGGTCATTATAGGAATCATAATTACATGGATTTTCCTATGTTTTATTATAAACCCTGGAAGACAATGTCCATTTCATAAGAAACGTAATATTTATGTTTTGTAAGAAATGTAGTATTTGTTTTTCTCATGGATTTGACACATTTTGTGTTTGTTTTTGTCTAGTCTGTGATTACATGTTAAATGTTTGTGTTATTTCTTGATACTCGAGGAAGAATTTTCAGTTGCTTGAGACTGGCTCACAGCCATGATCCACTTTTCTCCAAAGGAGTGTCTGGGCTAGAAAGTTATTAAGACACTCTTTGTATTTTCTGCTCTTCCTTCAGAAGTTCTTCTCCAATGCCTTCAGGTCTTGTGGACACAGGTGGCTTAAGAGTTCTCTATGAGCCGGTGGTGGTGGTGGTGGCGCACACCTTTAATCCCAGCACTCAGGGAAGCAGAGGCAGGCGGATCTCTGAGTTCGAGTTAGTTCCAGGACAGCCAAAGATACACAGAGAAACCTTGTCTGGGGGAAAAAAAAACCCTGTCTGTATGTTCAACCTCAGACTGTCCTGCCTGTAGCCAGCCGTTTTTGTTGTTCCCTCAGACTCCGTGTCTTGGAAGTGTACTTCATGCCGCATTTCAGAGTCGTAAGATTTGGACAACTCAGTATAGGTATTTATGACACTGATTTTCCCTGTCCTAGGTGTTTATTTCGTCTGGAGCTCTTTTCCTTTATTGCTACCCACATTCTGTCAAACTGTAGCAACAGTTTGAAATTTGTACCGTACCAAGAGTTTGAAATTTGAGTGTTATTATTTATTATTTATTGATTTGTTCTACTTTCTTTTACCATCATCCCCCAGAAGATTTCTCTCTTGTTATCCCTCCTTTATATTTCTGCTATTAGTGCTCTAGTCTGGAACTTCATTGCCTTTTACCTCAACAGTTTCCTAACTAGTTATTCTAGTTTACCTTCCAGTTTATATGGCCTAAAACACTGCTTACTCTTTGACACCTATTGCCATGATAAATTGCTTTCTAATACCCATGTGCTCAGGTCTGGCCCAGAATCCCTAGTTCAGTAGTTCAAAGCCTCAATTCCATTATGCCACAGTATGTGTTTTTGTCTTTTCATATTTGACTTCCCATTTCACCTTTTCTTTGTCACACCTTGTCTTTCTAGCACCAATTTAAGAATACCTTTCTGAAATCTTCTCTGCCATTTTAGCTCCCATTTATCCCTTTCTTCTGCAAACCTTTACTCATTTGGGCATGTTTCTCTATCATTGTTTATTCGGCTTCCTTTCCTTTATAGGCACGTGTACACAGCACAAGAGTATGTATATCTTCTCCCTAAATATATTAGAATTCCCTCGATCAAAACTATGCTTGGAATAGCTTGTCTTAGTTAAGTTTTCTATGCTGTGACACAATGCCTTGAGCAAAAGCAACTTGGGGAGGAAAGGGTTCATTCCAGCTGACAGATCTCAGACCACCTATCCAGGGCTGACACCACACACCGTGTGGCCCTCACGTGTCAATTATCATTCAAGAACATACACCATAGGCTTTGCCTATAGGCCAGTTTGGTGGGGGCATTCTCTCAAGTGAGGCTCCCTCTTCCAAAATGACTCTGGCTTGTGTTATTTGACATAAAACGAGCCAGTACAAGTAGCTAGTACAATACATGTTGTGTACATAGGCATTTAGTAAATGTTTGTGTAATGAATATTCAGGGTGGTGGAACAGTGAAAAAATATCTTTAAACAAAGGGATCACTGATAGGTAATAGAGATGAAGAGAATATATTTCGGATTACATGTCTCTTCTACTTTCCGTGTGTGTGTATGTGTGTGTGTGTGCACATGCGCGCGTGTGCGTGTGTGCGTGTGTGTGTGTGTGTGTGTGTGTGTGTGTGTGTGTTTCACATCTGCTCCAGGATAAATAGCTGTGTGAAGAATGAAGAGCATGTCCTGGAGGAGTTGGAAACAGAAGGTGAGAGGCAGCTGAAGAGCCTCCTTCAACATCAACTTGATACCTCTGTCTCCATTCAAGAGTGAGTATCGATTTGTAAACAGGGCAGTTATAATAGACCATCACCTGTAGGTTATACATCAGTCTTAAAGCCTGGTGGGAGCCCTCCACTCTCACACAGACTCTTTCTTAGGAAGACCTATTTATACAGGTCAGATTTTACTTTTTTCCCTTTTTGTAGGAAGCTTCCTGTATCTTCCTCAGCCAGGACCAAGTACTTTTACTGTGTCCTAGTATAATATCCTGTATTTCCCCTAACATGGTATATATAATTCTATATGGTCATTTCCTATTTAGTTGCCTCCCTTATGCTGTTCTTTATATAGGTGGCTGTTCTTTTGATATTTTTTTTAATAGAGGATTTATTTTGTTTGTGTGGGGGGATGTTGGGGGAGTTAACGTGAACCATGTGTGCCATTGCCTGCAGAGGCCAGAGGGTTTTCATTCCTCTAGAACTAGAGTTGGAGGTGGTTGTGAGCTGCCATGTGGGTGCTGGGAACTGGCCCAGATCCTCTACAAGAGCAATAAGAGCTCTTAATTTTTTTCCTATCTCTCTAGCCCCATTATTTTTGTTTTCTTTTTACTGTTATCTCTCAGTACAGAACACAGCATGCAGTGCATAGGGGGAACTCAGTAAACGTTAATTTAGTCATTTATTAGTCTTAGATATTTGGGGACTATTCATGGAACTCCATTCTGTTACCATGGTGCTTCACCTTGGCAAAAGAATGTAAGAGAGACTTGCCTATGAGCTTCACTGGGCCTATAATAATAGGCGGCCTCATCATAATATGTAATGTGGTTACTGTGAATTGTAACCACAAGATGGTCTTATTCTCTTCTTCTGTGTTTTGCAGATGTGTCTCTAAGAAAGAGAGCTTTGCCCCGGGTACCATGTACAAGCCCTTTGGGAAGGAAGTAGCCGGGACAATGACTTTATCCCAGTTCCAGACACTACATGAAAAAGACCAGGAAACCACTTCTCTCAGGGAACTAGGGCTCAATGAAACAGAAATACTGATCTGGAAAAGTCATGTTTCAGGTGAAAAGGTAAAAAAGCTGTTTTCTTAAAAGGATGTATTTATTTTCATTTATGTATGTGTGTGCCTGTGTTGATAAAATTCCTTCCCTACAGGAGCTTTAAAGCTAGGACAAGGGCTACTTCCAGGAGTGTGGGCACTCTTGCAATGAGCTGTGCCTGGGAAGTCTTACCCAGCACCAGTGAGGGCTTTCTTATAGCTTTACAAGCCTCTCTCTAGAGAACAATCTCATGCCCAACTCTGTGCCTCTATGCTGGGGTATGGAAACCACCGACCAGTCCTGTTGGGGTGATCATTTGCAAGTGGGCACAGCTGAACTCCCCAGCATGTGCTCACTTTTTTGTGTTTGAGAACATTTATGTTCTTAGTTTTTATGAAACCATGTGTTAGTCTGAATCTTTTGTTTTTAAGGTAGAAACAACGGCTAAAGAGAAGTTGTTGGCTAACCTTTAACTAAAACTTACATAAACACTTCCAATTTCTGGGCCTTTCTCATCTTCTTAAGTGAGGGCTCAGTTTTACTTTTGTTCTTTATGATACAAAGCATCTAATTTTCCTGGTTTCAGAGGACAAAGCTGAGGGCCACCCCTGAAGCAATACAGAAATGGCTTCAAGATATTGAAGAAAGGATCTCAGAGCGCCAGCGCATCCTTTGCCTGCCACAGAGGTTTTCAAAGAGCAAACAACTGACCAGGCGAGAAATGGAAATTGAAAAGTCTTTATTTCAGGGAACTGATCGTCACTCCTTCCTTAAGGCTCTTTATTACCAAGGTATGGGATCCTCACTGCTTCTGAAGTGTTCTTTAGCTGAAAGAAAGATTTAACGTCAGGGCATTAGATATGGGGAATTAGTGAAAGACAAGATGTTACTACTCCTGAGAAATATAGAGTCCCATGAGCGACACAAGTATATATATAGTTACTTGCATGACACCATTGAAAGTGTTATAAAGAGTTGAATCAAACGCCAAGGTGGCATAGAACACGAAGCATCCGAATCTAATTGGGGGAGTCAGCAGTTGACATTTGTACTATCTTAACAGAGCAACAGGCATTCTTTTGACTGTAAAGGGAAAAGGACATTACAGCTACTGGATGGATAGGAGTCATACTGTGAAAGGACCTGGTATATGTGGGGAACCGTGAGAAGTTCAGTTTGCCAGCAAAATAGGGTATGGCAGGGAATAATGTCAGACACATGAAGGGGAAATAAAGTGCGATTGTGATGGGTCTTTAGACTAGACTGTAAAGTAATGCAAAATATATACATAAACAGTATGTATCTTAGCCAGAAAGAATTCGTGTAGCAGTTAAGTTTACTCGGCATGGTAGAAGGTTCACAGAAAGGGTTTAAGAAATGGTTCCTAGTCTTGTACTAATTGGCATGGAGATGCACACATGTACCCTTTAGCAGTAATGTTAGATATATTGGCTCAGTGCCACAGAAGTTCAGAGTTGTATTGGTATGACTGAAGAAGGCCTCAGAAGAGGTAAGATTGAAATACTCTTAACCCTATCTAGTGGACAGGAGAGGGAGTAGCATTTCAGTTGCAGTGATTGGTATGAACATTGTTAATTGGGGGCATTTTTTAAGAGATCAGCTTGAAAAGGTAGCTCAGAATTCTTGACTCTTATTTGCTTGATAATACAGAGACATGTGGAGTTTGTTCAGTTAGTGCATTTGAATATAGTAAGATAATAAAAGCTCTTTTTGGAAATGATAAATGTAGTCGCCGAGAAAGAATTAGAAAGAGGAAAGAAAGAATGGCATTAAAGTTACTGAGTTATCAGCATCTGGACTGGGACGATGACAGTGGAACTGGAGAGGTGGATTTGTATGTGAGTGATATGACATGAAGAATTGATACTGAGAATGAAGTAGAGAGGAATATGGAGAGATAATGCAGATATTTCAGAGGTGTGTGACTTAACAGTACAAAAAATTAAGTCTGAAGACGGGTAATGTGTTTCATTTAAACAGACTGAATTTGTGAAGATGGTGGGATTAGTATATGCAGATATTGATGCAGAAATGAAGCAATGAAGCCTAGGAGAGAAATCCGAACTGTGTCTGTATGTTAAGGTCATGTGAGTGATTGAATGGTGATAAAGATAAGCTATACAGTTGCCAGGACAGTGGTAAGGGAGAAAGGAACAGATGAACAGCTTTCTGTGGAGAGATACCATGGCTTACTGAGTGTGAACATAGGCTCTGGAAGCAGACTGTCTGGGAAAAACCTGGCTCCCCCACTTACTGTGAAATGCTGATCACATTACCTTTCTACACTTTAGCTCTTTCTCTGTGATGTGGAGTTGTTAGGAAGTTTAAGTGAGGTAATACATGGAAATCAGAGCAGTACCTACTATTGGGGTGGGGGATGGGTGTATGTCTCTGTTCTGTTTCCTATCTTTGAAACTCCTTGCTTTAAACCTTCACAGCATACCACAAAAAGACAAGTGCAGACAAGTACATGACCTCAATGAAGAGGAAGATAAAATTAGGCACAAAAGGCAAGTCGAGAGTTTTCTTACAGTGTTAGATTTAGGAATGTAAACTAGGGTTCCAGATTCTAACTTGAGCACTTATTTAATTACATATTCACTATATATGTTTCCAGGAAATGAACTAGAGAGAGCATATTGTCCTGATATGAAATATTAAAGTGCAGTTAGAAGTTGTCAAGATTTTACATTTAGTTTTGTTTTTACTTCTCTAGCTTTACTGTACCAGACCTACATTGTCCTAGCTGAATTTTAGATCCCATTGCACAAATAATTCTGAATATCATTAATCAGTAAAACTGTTGATGATGGTGATGATTATATCATAACTAGCATTTTGAAATGAAATTACAGTAAAATTGCATGGGGCCTTTTTTGGTGTACAATTCTGTGGATTGTAAATCATGTAGATTTCATGTATCCACCACCACAATCAAGAGAGGGAGCAGCTCCATTACTCAGGCAAACTCTCATACTCTTCCCCCTTTAGACTCACTCCATCGCTCCCCCCAAGTTCCTGGCAATCACGTATCTTCATTACTTTTGCTTCGTCTTTTAGAGATTGTCATATTAATGGAATCATGCAGTGTGTAATCTTGTGAGACTGGCTTCTTTCACTCAGCATAATGCTTTTGAGACTCATCTAAATTGTTGTTCATATCAATAACTCATTCATTTTTGTGGAGTCCCATTTCATTGTATGGATATTCCATATCCATTCACATATTGAAGTGGATTTGGGTTTTTCCAGGTTATGGTCTTTATGAATGATATTGATATTAACATTCTTGTGCAGGTTTTTGTGTGAACATAAGTTTTTATTTCTCTAAGGTAAATATCTAGAAGTGGGATTACTGGGTCATATGGTAAGTGCACATTTAACTTTATATGAAACTGCCAAACCATTTTCCATTCCCACCAATGGTGTATGAAAGTTGACTTGCTCTACATCTTTGTCAGCATTTGGTATTGTCAGTATTTATTGTGATTGTTCTGAGAGGTGTGAAGTGATGCCTCCCTGTTGTTTTAATGTGCCTTTTCTTAATGGCTAATGATGCTGAGCATCTCTCTGTGTGCTTTTTTGCCTTCATTATATCCTATTTGCTAAAGTTTCTGTTCACATCTTTGCCATTTTGTCATTGGATTGCTTTTCCTTCCTAATGACTTTTGAGATTTCTTTATATGTGCTAACACAATCCTCCATCAGATGTATGCTTTACAAATACTTTTCACAGTCTGGAGCTTGTTGTTTCATTCTCTTAGCAGTATGTTTTTAATTGTGCTAAATTTTTTTTATTGCGAAAAGAAGAAAAAAAACATAAACAAAAAACAAGTTTCCACCTCCTCCCAGCCTCCCATTTCCCTTCCCCTCCTCCCACCCTTCTCCCCCTCCTCCCACCCTTCTCCCCCTCCTCCCACCCTTCTCCCCCTCCCCCCACTCCTCTCCCCCTCCCTCTCCAATTGTGCTAAAATTTATATAACAAAGTTTATTATTTTAACCATTTTTAAGTATTTACTTCTGTGGTGTTAAAATTCATATTCTGTAACTATAACCTCTACCCATCTCTAGAGCTTTTTAAGTTATACACATTAAAAGCTATTTCCTCTACCTCCTACCTTCTGCTTTCTAGCAACCTCCATTCTTGTTTTTGTGGATTTGAGTACCCTGTGTACCACTTGTAAATAAAATCATGCAATATTTATCTTTTACACGATTGGATTATTTTACTTAGCATAAATGTTTTGTTGCTGTTTCATATAGTAGCATGTGTCAGAATTGCATTCCTTTTTTAAGGCTGCATAATATTCCATTGTATATACATACTGCTTTGTTTAATCAATTCATTTGTCAGTGGATACTTCAATTGTTTCCATAGTGTAGTTACTGTGAATAATGCTGGTGTGAACATTGGTGTACAAATGTTTGATATCTGCTTTTAGTTCTTGGAGTACATACACAGAAGTGGAATTGCTGGATCTTACAATAATTTTATGTTTAATTTTTTGATGAACCTCTCTACTGTTCTCTATATAGATTGTCATTTTGCATTCCTACCGACAATGCATAAAAGTTCCAATTTTTCTAAATTCTCACGAACACATGTTATTTTTTGGGTTTTCTCTTTTTGGATAATTGCTACTTTAAAGGGCATGATGTATGTCGTTATAGTTTTTATTTGCATTTCCCTAATAAGTGCTACTGTGTAGTTTTTCATTATACCGTTTGGCTTTGTGTCTTCTATAAAGACATCCATTCAAGTATCTAGGTATTAATCACTTCTCAGATACATGACTTGTAAATATTTTCTCTTGTTCTGTGTTTGCTTTTTATTCTTCTTGTTATCCTTTAATGCATGGTGTTTTCTCATTTTTCTTCTTTTGTCTATGCCTCTTTTAGTATATCTAAGAAGTCATTGCCAAATCCAGTATTACAAAGCGTTTCCTCTATGTTTCCTTCTGAGCTATTATCAATTTTTCACTCTTTAGGTCTTTGATCCATTTTGAGTTAATTTTTACCTATGGCTTAAGATAAGGATCCTGTCACTTGTTGCTATTCAGTTCCCCAGGACTGTTCTTTTTGAAGATTGTTCTTTCTGCACTGAATGATCTTATTGCTTTCTTCAGAGATCATTTACCATATGGATTAGAATTTATTTCTGGGTTCTTGGTGGTATATGTGTCTGACTTTATGCCAGTAGCATGCTGTTGTTTTGTTTTGACACTTGATATCTCTTTTGTAGCCCTGGCTGTCTAGAACTCATTCTGTAGCCAAGCTGGCCTCAAGTTCACAGAGATCTGCCTGTCTCTACTTCTAGAGTGCTGGGATTAAAGGTGTGCACCACCACACCTGGAATGTAGCATGGTCTTTTAATTTTTGTAGTAAGTTTTGAAATCAGGAAGTAATAATATGTAATACTTAAGGTATTTTTTCACATTTTCTTCATTATTTTGGTGGTCCCTTGAGATTCCATGTGTATTTTAGAGTAGAATGTTTTATTTCTACAAAATCACATCATTGACCCTTTGGTAGTGAATGAATTGAGTCTGTAGAGAGCTCTGGCTAGTGAGGTTTTTCTTAACAGTATTAAGTCTTCTAAATGGTCATGAGTGCTTACCTGCTCTTTGTTTCTTTTTTATATTTTTGGTTTCAACTGCATCTTCTAGCTTTCATTATATTGGTCTCGCTCCTCAGAGAAAATGCTTTGAACTCTTGTTGAGTTTCTTAGTTGTGTGTGCAGATGGATCTGTATAAGAATTAAGAACTCTGCCTAGTATCTGTTGATGTAAAAGACCTTCTCTGGTATTTTCTTCTTGTGGTTTTATAGTTACACATTTTATACTTAGACCTGTAATCCATTTTGACTTGATATTTTTATCATGAGCTCTAGATTGAGATTGACTTTTCTTCCTATAAATGTTTGAGCACAAGTTATTCAAAGGAGTCTCCCCTTTCCCACTTATTTACTGTCACATTCTTTTCAGAAATTATTTGCTCATATTTATGTGTTAACACTTAATAGTATAATAGCGGTGAAAGACTGAAATTTTGTCACCAAGAGAAAAAAAGTAAAGATATCCACTCACTACTTCTATTTTAAATGGAAAAAAGTAGAAAAATAATATCACTAAGACACAGGAAATTTATAAATATGCAAAAATATATCATTCTGCCAGATAATGACTGGATCAAAACTAAATCCCATTCCCTCTCAAATTCATGACTGTGTATGTATGTGTTTGTTTATATAGAAAAGCCGCTCAGTCCATTTAGTGTTACACAACATTTATATACAAACATGCATTAATTGATGTGTGTATGTTTGTATGCATGTTTAGATACAAAACCTGTCCAGTCTGTTTAGTGTTGCAAATGTTAGCGTGTCAGCCTGTGATTGTATCGTGCAGGTCTTATTTAGGCAACCATATTATTGAGACTTTATGGGTATAGCTTCTTATGGCTTTTTGATTGAGGTTTTTGGTTTGCTTATTTTAATGTATTAGGTTATTTTGATAAGATAGGATATATATCTATTATTTTATTCATTTATGGAATTAATTTTGTCTAGTATGTCATTTTAATTAACTTTTGATTCACCCTCCATTGGTGTGTGTGTGTGTGTGCATGTGTGCACGCACGCATGCTTTATTCCCTTCCTAATTATCTTTTTTTTTATTTTTTTACATACTTTGCATCCCAAAAGCAGTTTCCTCTACCTCCACTCCTCCCAGCCCCTCTCACTTTCACATCCCCTCCCCGAAAAGAAAACCAGCAGGCCTCCCAGGGATAGCAGCTGAACACATTATAACAAGTTACAATATGGCTCAGTGGTTAAGAGCACTGACTGCTGTGCCGGAAGTCCTGAGTTCAATTCCCAGCAACCACATGATGGCTCACACCCATCTATGAGATCTGGTGCCCAGAACACTATATACATAATAAATAGATTTAAAAAAAAAAGACTAGGCATAACCTCTCATATCAAGGCCGGATGAGGTGACCCAGTAGGACCCAGTAGGAGGAAAAGGGCCCCCAAGAGTAGGCAGAGGAGTCAGAGATAACCTCACTCCCACTGTTAGTTGTCCCACAAGAACACTAAGCTAAACAAACACAGCATATATGCAGTGGACTTAGTTCGGACCCATACAGGGTCTGTGTTTCTCACCTCAGTGTCTGTGAGCCCCTATGAGCCTTGCTTAGTTGATTCTGTGGGTCTTGTTCTCGTGCTGTCCTTAAGCCCCCTGGTTCCTATTCTTAGTGGGGTTCCCCTGGCTTCGCCTAGTGCTTGGCTGTGGGTCTCTGCATCTGTTCCCATCAGTTGTTAACAGTGCTTCTCTGATGACAATAGGGGAATATCATTAGGAATTAAGGATTACAGCTAACATCTTTGATTAGTTTACATTAATGAAAACTTAATTTTTAAAATGGTTTTATTTGTATTCTTTACATCCCTACTACAATTTCCTCTCCTTCCTCTCCCCCAGTCTCTCCTCCTCCCCTACCTCTCTTCTGCCATCCACGCTGCTGTTTAGAAAAGGGCGGGTCTCCCATGGATAGCAACCAAATACAGCATATCAAGTTGCTAATTAGCTTCTTTGGTCTCTGAATGATAGGTACCTCCCCTTGTATTAAGGCTGGACAAGGTAACCCAGTATGAGGAATAGGGTCCTAAAAGCTGGTAAAAGAGTCAGAGAGAGCTCCTGCTCCCACGGTTAGGGGTCCCACAGGAAGACCAAGCTACACAACTGTAACATATATATGTAAAGGGCCTAAGTCAGTCCCATGTAGGCTACCTGATTGTCAGTTTAGTCTCAGGAACCTTTAGGAACCCAGTTTAGTTGATTCTGTGGATTTTCTTGTGGTATCCTTGACCCTTCTGGCTCCTACAATCTTTCCCTGCTCTCTTCAGCAGGATTCCCCTACTTCCATCTATTGTTTGACTGTGGGTCTCGACATCTGTTTCCATCAGTTGCTGGATGAAGCCTCTTTGATGACGGTTGGGCTAGGCATCAATCTATGAGTATAGCAGAATATTGTTAGGCATTGTTACGGTGACATTTTTTTTCTCCAGTCGTGTTTGGTTCTTTCCTAGGTCTCCGGGCCATCCAGCCTCTGGGTCCTGATGCTCCAGGCAGTGTCAGGGGTGGGCTCTCTCTCTCGTGGCATGGGTCTCAGGCTGGACGAGTCATTGGTTGGCCACCCCCACAATTTCTGTGCCACCTATATTCCAGCACATCTTGTAGGCAGGACAAATTGTACATGAAGGTTATGTAGCTGGGTTGGTGTCTCAGTCCCTTCACTCGAAGTCTTTGTCTGGTCACAGGAGATGGCCAGTTCAGATTATGTATTCCCTATTGCTAGGAGTCT